CGTCGTAATAATATACTTGACAAAAATCAATTTCGGAGAGAGACGACATGTCGATCGAGAACAGTTTCATTTAAAAAACTTTGCATTATGGCGAAAGAATCTCATACGACTTTGCTATATCTTCAAATTAATTCATTTATAACCATTTCTTTTTCCTTGTCAGTACGTCAAAAGTATGAAGCAACATTTAATATGTTTAGAAATATTTTATTTATTAAAAATTTACGTATGGTCTATGGAATCGCCTAGAACAACAATCTAATTTAGTTTTAGAAAATATGAAAAGTCTGAAGCATAGATTTTAGTTAGAAAACGCTGTTATGGATTAACCCGCCTTTGGTTTGGCATTAATAAGATAGGTTCTATAAAACTCGGCTAATAATAAAATTTGATACTCTATAGAATTCAATTCTTATATGTTGTAATCCGCTAACTAGTAAAAATAAATAAATATTATCAGTCGTTTCTGTCTAACTTAGCTTTAACAAAGATTATAGTATTAAAATGACCTGCGAATTATGTGGTTCACACTATAAAAGTCTATAACATCCCACAATTTAATTTGAGTTTATAATAATAAGATTTATAAATGATTTTAATTTAAAAAATGCGTCAGTCTAGTGGACTAAGATAAATAAAACTAACGGGCCAACGCATTTGGGCCCATATACAAAACCGACCGAAAATCTGTACTAAAATGTCGGTTTTACCCCTGAGGGAAACATTTGAAAAAACGACGCTATATGGTGGAAAAACCCAACGGAGGGAGAATTTTTATTTCCAACATTTTCATCCCAAAAATTCCCGCCTTGTTATTTCTCTTTCTCTCTCTGTTCTTGGGAGATTTTAGTTTGATTCATCGAAGATCTTCGTCTGATTAGCTTCATCTTCTTTCCTTCCGGTAAGCTATTAGATCGGTGAATTTTGATTCGTGTTAATCTTAATCTCTCAGAGTTGTTTTTTTTTTTTTTTAATTTCGCGATTCTTTCTTATTTCGACTTTTCTTCACCGATCGTTTGTCTGTAGCGTGATTGGAGTTGTTACCGTAAGATTTTTGATCTAGAATTGTGAATATAGCTTCAATTTGCTTGTCCCGATTTGAATTTTGATTAATTTTTCATGTTAAGGATTGTTTGTTCGATTGGATCTTCGAGGTTTGGAAGGTCGGCTGGATTTCTAGGGTTTCGATCAGCATGAGTTTGAGGTTTTTTCCTTTAAAATCTTTGTAAATTCTTCGGAATAACTTTGATGATTTCACTATAATCTCAAAATTCGAATCTAACTATTATATTTGATTTTTTTTTTCGGTAGTGGATTAGTCGCTTTTCAGTTTCTAGGGTTTTGGATCTGGATCTGCGAGTCAGTTGAATTTTTAGTGTTTGAATCTGTATAGTTGGAGGTTTTTTGTTACGAATCTCTGTGAAATATTAGGAGAATGGTATAATTTGGCTCTGAGTTTTGATACCGAATTCTTCTTTTTTCTTTACCAGAATGGCTAGAAAGAGGACTGAAAGTGCAACAGAGTCCTCAAAAGAGACCAAAACGAGAGGAAAATTCACCAGAGCTAAGAAATGTATGAAGACAACATCTAAAAAGTTTCATGAATCTGGTAAAACCTTGTCAAATCATTTTAAATTATTTTTTCACTTGATTTCAGGCTTTTAACAAGGATTTATTGTCAATAATCAAACACAATATCGTTTTGTGTTCTTAGTTTAGCTCAAGAGTTTAACTTCTTATTCAGAATTTGTTGGCATTGTAATTGGCTTTTTCTTTTAATTTATCAGGAAAACATAATAGTGGAAAAGAGGAGAAATCCCCTTCTAAATCTCCGTCTTCTCATGATCAAAAGTTGATACATACCAAAGATGGAGCTCAAGAAGTACCTTGCTTCGATGTCGATTCGGGTAAAGAGGTTCGGCTTTCAGGAAAAATGAAGTTACAGCTCTTTCCCTTGGATGCTTGTACTCGCAAAGGATTAGAAAAGGTAAAGCCTACGACCTGACCACAAGACATGTACTAAGTATATACATTCCGCTGAATATTTCTAACTTGTTTCGTTTTGTTAAAGGACGGCTTTCACCCATATTTGGAACTCACTCTTAGCTCACGTAAGAAGGTTTCTTCAGTGCTTCAACACATTAATAGTAAGTGGGGCAACTCAGAGATAGCCCGGGTAGATCCTGCATTGTACCCATATGATAAATCGGTACACGGTTTTGGTCATAAATGGATTGCAAACAGCAGCACCACTACAGGGGATATCTATGCAGCTCTGGGATCTCCACCCGTTTTCCGCTTACGGTATTTGCATCTATGTACCTTTCAAGAGTAAATTTTAAGCATAGCTGCTTCTTACGAGTATTTATTTTTGTTAAGGTATGGGTGGTCCTCTGAGACTGATAATAAAACCGATGAACGGCCATCTCCATCAACTCCGAGTATCACTGGCTTCCCACATGAAGAACCTCAGAACATCACTAGTAACAGAATAGAGAGTGCTGGTTGTACAGGAAATCAAGTGAATGATTGTCCCTCCTCAGAAAACACACCTCCTGAACAAGTAAAGTCCATGGTATGCTTAATTAAAATACTTTTTTTCTCTGTTTTGTACTTAAATCTTATATCACTGTATACTAAGAATCATGACTACTTTTCTTTGACCAGGAGAATAAAACAAACGATGGATCTGGCCCGACATTGTTTTCATGGGATGATGGATTAACAAGCCTGAGTATTGGCGGGTTGCTTTCAGAAGTATCGTTGAAGGGGAAATTTGGGGATCATTGTAAAAATTCAAACACTGGGAACGCAAACGCAACTCTCTGGGACGACGGTCTTACAAATATAAGCATTGGAGGTCTGTTTTCCGAGGCATCCTTACAACACAGAATCGATATTAGCCGTGAACAAGAACCAGCTCATACTAAGAATAATGATCAGCTAAGTGTAAGCTTTGGAGGGTTACTTTCTGAAGCATCATCACTCGGAGAGGGAAAGTTCAGTGACTGCAACAAAACATGGGAGTCAAAGAGAGCTATCACACAAAAACCATTACCTCTAATCTCTGATTCTCTAGATGCTTTCCTCGTGAACCGAACAGATCAGCCTCAAGCTCCCTGTCCTGCTCCTCCTACTCCTGAGCCGGCACATTCGTCTATACTCGATGCAGAAGATACATGCCATGCATTTTCCTTTCGAAAGCGTACTACAACCTCTCAGCCGGTTCTTGAGCAGGTTAAACATTTCCCATGTTTTGCGCTGTTTTAATAATATTTTTGTTAGTATGCATTTGTGATATTACTATTGTCAGAAGAAGTTTAGAACTTGCAACTCAGGGTTATAGGATTTGAATATCTGGCAGGTTACTGGAGAATCTGAGGAGCAACAGAAAGATGAATCAAAACCCGGAAAACCTTTGTTTGGTTCTGGTTCCACGGTGTTTAATCAGGACAGCAGCCTCGGATTTTCAGGAATTAAGTGGGTAAGTGAGAGTTCTACTAATTGAATGGTCTCTGCTTCACATTCTCTTAACACATTTTTGCTGTAGATACATACAACTAATGGAAACCTGACATTCTAACCACACGAGTTTGTACGAATAACTTAAGATATGTTTTATCACTTGGATTTTGAATTTGATTTCATAATAGCAGGCTGACTCAAGGGGACCATTTGATTTCGGCTTATCTTCGTCTCAAAAGTTTACTTATGGAGACAGCGTAAGCTTCGGTGCTGTGGTAAAAGAATTGCAGGAAATGGAGCCTTTAGAAGAAAAGAAAATAAAGCTTCAAAATGATGAACAATGATAATAAATCCACAGGTAAGTGTATAAAAAAAAACCTGGAACCA